AGAGATACTTCTTTGCCTGAATCGAGAAGTCTTTGTCATTCATTATCATTAGATATGATCTCAATATAAGGCGAATGAAACACTGTTTCAGATACTGATCGTAATATTGGCCATAGATTTGGCACTCGAGAGGCCGATGGATCTTCTCGTCCCGTCTTCGGCACCGATCGCTGCAATAAGACATTTGTTTGCATTGCGAGCACTCGTGTCCACCGCCGACACTGCCCTTCACATTGTCTTTTGACTCGTGTTGGCCATCGATGGCCAGCAGACAGTATTCGCAGACCAATGTCTTCATGTGATGGCTCAACGACTGGACCAATGGTTTGCATTCAAACACTGTGTCTCCCGTTTCATACCGTTTCACAGACATCTCTCTCTCCCTCCCTCTCTCTCTCCCCTCTCCCTCTTCTGTCTCTTTGTTACTGTTGTTCAGCAGTGAATGATTGGATCAATTGATTGAACGGTTGAAGACATGAGTGAAGAGTTGAGAGGATTTCATGATTTGATGACCGGATGTGCAGTGAAGTAGAGTTGGCTTACAGTTGGTGTGGAGCGCACTGTAAGGCCTCTACCCTTACACTACTCTATGCATGGGTTTGGCATTCATTTGTGCCCACAATTCACAGCCAATGTATTGTCAATTGTATTGGAAATTACAGTTTGTAATCATAAAAACAATGATTTTGTTGAATGAATATAAATTGATTATCTATTAGTTATTTAGTTATCTATAAATATAATAAAAGTTAACAATAATTTTCAATCCATACAAAACAAATCATTAAAGTTAGTACAAAGTTAAAGAAATGCACACAAAAACTCAATCATATATTGACGCTAATTAGTCGATACGACACTAATTATAACAATCCATAACATCTATGGTTATGGTTTGAAGTTAACAGCACTGCCATAGACTGTGGCCCATAGTTAACATCATATCATATAACCAAGTTTAATGTTTACAAAATCAATAAACATTGTAATATTATATTTAACCCCACTCGTTCTCTCTCTCTCTCTCTCTCTCTCTCTCTCTCTCTCTATTTAATAATTTGGTTAAAACTCATTAAGAATTGAATGCATAATTCAATTGCATTTTATTTAATCAATAAAATTGTTTAATAAGTTTAAAAATAAATATTTCTCGCAAACAATAACAAAATGTTTCAATAAAAACACAATTTAAATATTCAATGAATTTAAATAATTAATAAATTGTATGTATAATTGATCCTAAAATATGTTGATGTCAGTAGTGATAGGTGTGTCCATTGCGGACATTATGGGTGCCATTCCTGATGTGATTGAAGCCCAGATTCTGATGAGAAGTGTTGGCAAATTTTAATAACAAATTCGTGTCACTCTTCGTGACGGGAAGTATCGGTTGTTTCTTCTCCTCTTCCATCGCATCGTATTTGGCCTTAAATTGCGTACAAAAGTTAATCCTCAAGAGTTTTGTTGCGGACACCAATACTGTGGACGCCATTAACGGATCCAAAGCTTACCTTATTATAGTAGAAGACGCCGAATACGGCTAAAAACATTCCCAACGCATTCATAGGCGTCACCGGATTCCTAAACATGATAACAGAGAACGTGATGATCGCTATCCTCTTGGAAGCGTTACACACGGCGTAAGTCAATGGCGTGACCAATGATAACACTGTAAATGCGATCACATTTTGCAAAAAGTTGGCCAAACCGTCGATGAATAGTAGCATCGCTACAACCCATCCATCCATTGTTGACGTACTCTCGCTGTAGAGGATGTCGAGGAAGTCGTGCCAAAACCAGACCGGAATAAACATCATTAGCGCCAATCGGGCCAACAGGTGAAGCAGTTTCAAGTGGTGTATTGATGTCTCGCGTAATACCTATTCGTTATATCAATCAAAATATTATATATTAGCAAAAATATTGCAATTTATTCTTCTGGCAAAACGACTGAACCTTTTTTGAGAAAATATTCTGTAGAGAGAAGACAAAGATGGAGAAGAGGGCAGAGAAGAGGCCAATCATATTGAACTCGAGTTCGGTAATCGTGGCAATCATTATACCGATCACTATCGGCGCCAACGATAGGTATATCTGTGTTCGCAATGAAGTAAATGTCAAAATTAAATATCAATTGTAATTGTAATCAGAATTGAGTGCAAGAATAAGACATACTTTAGTCGTTTGTTTCTCTCCTAATATAACTCTCGACAGAATGACCACAAAGAAAGGCATCGATGCCTTCACTGCGACCACAAAAACAAATTATCATTAAATCAAACATATTGTCAAAGCATTCTTCAAGAATCAAGTGATGGTTAAGTGTTGTGGCAAATGGTATGCCGTATGCCATACCTGTGTGAGCGTAAGAGACGGGAACAGCCCATAGACTGATGTGTGAGGAGACGGAGGCGAAGAACTTGCCGAACGCCAGAGGAATGATTATCTTCACATAATAGGACCACTCGAGCTGTGGCTGCCGTTTGGGGCCCGTCTTGAGCAGTGACAGCGCCGGCACTGAGTATATGGTTATGGATAACAACTGGACTATCGTTACGGTTATGGGATATGGGAAGGACTGGAGGACCAGTTTGCCGATCACATTATTGCCGGCACTCGTCATATACCACAACACACACAACACCAGCACTCGGCTCACTGTCCGTCGCTCGGCCACAGACATCACCACTCAGTCCACCACTACTACCACTACTACTACTATATCACTACCAGATCTATGCTCTTCTAACCGATCCAACGCTACTCCTGATTGCGATGATGTCTTTGGATCAGTTATATGGTGTGTAAGAAGTGTCACATTTTGCCCATTCATGTGATATTAATAACATTCATGATTTTAATAGGACTGCAACGTGTACTCCACTACCACTACATGAATGCAAAATCAAAACATAGCCAATGGTTTGTTCCCATTTTGCGTTCAAAATGTATGTATTTTGTCCACAAATATTTGACTACAACTGTACTCAACCTGTTGAATGAAACTAGATCGAGTTAAGATACAAATGACAATGATCCCTTAGTTTTGCTATCATACATGATATTACCTCATTCTTATACAATATATGCCCCGACAATGCTAACTATTTTTGACCCCATTATTGACACTTAATTTGTTTTTTAATTAATATATTTGGCGTTAAATGAGTTTTTAAAGTCAATATACGATAAGAACTTAAAGAAACTACACAAATAATTATTCTTGTAGAATTGGCTAAAGTTACATAGCACACTTTTTTACTTACTTTTGTTAATAATTTTGTAAATGTAGTAAAAACTTATAATAAAATTAATATTAAAATAGAGTCTAGTGCATTTTTGACAACTCATGTAAATGAACAATATACTATTATATTATATTTTAATATAAACTTCTCTTTGGGGGAAACACCTCCTTATAAGGAACGGGGTTTAAATATATTTTGAATATCTATACTTATAATGTTAAGACAACTTCTCTTATAGAAACTTTTCAATAAAAAATTTCTCTCCATTGGGAGCGGATTTATGAAAATTTATGGACATTCTTTATATTCTAATGCTAATGTTAATTGTAAGGAAATAGCAAACATTTTACAAAATAATAACCATATTTAAAGCATATTTTCAAAACTATAACTGAAAACAAACAAAAATATCTTTATTTTTAAATTAGTTTTTCTCAAAACAAACTCAAGCCTTTAATTATTGTCATATAAATCTTTTAATAATAATTATAATATCATGTTTAACGTGTTTATATATAAACATCCCTTGGAGAAACCCTCCCTATAAGGAACACTTTTGCCGTCAAACTGACCATTCTTTAAAGAGAAGTTGTACTGTACTAGAATATAATTTATTATATTGTATAATGTAAATTTACACGAGTGTACAACACTGGTCTAGTCTGCTTCATGAGTTATTTGATAACTTTATTTTTAATTAAAATAATACTGTATTTAATAAAAATTTTAAGGAATATAAAAAATTTTAAAAACTGAATTTCAAACAATTTTAGAATTCTTTATGAATTATTTAAAGAATTACTTAAATTCTTTATATTTTCTTTATTATAATTTAAATTATTGATAAAAATAATTAATTTAATAATCATACGAATTGTAAAAACTGTTTAATAAACATGGAATTTTTATTTAATAAATTTTTATCAGCTTATTTTAAATTAAAGCAAAAGTAAACAAAATATAAAAACCTTGAATTTATCATTTTGGAAGTGATGAGAACTACTGTATTGAATATTTTTAAAAACAAGGTTTGCAATTAATCTTGGATGTTAACTAAAATTAGGTAAATTAATTTCAAACTTTTTGTTTTTAGAATTTTTACTTAATAAAAATCTTTGTTATCTATGAAACATTGTTTTATAAAATTAATTTCACTTTAAAATAAATATTTATAAAAGAAGTTATTAATGGAATATCATTAGTTTGAAATTAAGGTATAGTAATAGAATTATAATGTAATTTAAAGTTAATTCTTTAATTATGGTGGCAAAATAGCTAAATACCTTAATATATCTTTTGAATTGTGATTTAAAATACTACAGTTTATAACTGTTAATAATAATAATATTATCTGTAAATAGTCTAAAACAAGTCTGTCTTACAATTTACAGTAATTTTAATGATAAAGTGGTGAACTTAATGTTAGTCGTTATGTAAACTAATTGATAAATTTATCAATTATTGATAACTAGATTGAAAGGCGCCTAAAATATTTTAAAAGAATTGATATCATTTTCGCTCTCGTATTATATTAATAATGCGATTATTCGCTTAGAATTCAGTCACAAAAGTTATTTCAGGCAAAACTTGTCCGAAAAAATGGGCGAAAAGGCGGAGAAATTGAAATATTTGGATGAATTGGTTCAACCAAGA